GATGTAGGTTGATGATAAATATAGCACATTATGATATTTCGCTCCACGATCCTAAATCTTTCACGAGTATTGGACTAATATCCCTCTATAGAAGATAGCCCAGCAAGTCGCGGCGTATGTCTTGCATCATTCACTCAAATCCAAAAAAAAAGTGCTATAGTCAGCGCCTTAAGTGATAAAGTTAACGATTCCTGCTTTCAAACTGAGCAGCTGTTTGTAAAAGCCTTGCGCCGTAAAAATAAATATGAACACTTTCAAAAGAGCTCAAAGTCACTTTATCTAAATAGTTGATTATAGATGTTTTTGTTATGAAGGATAAGTGTGAAAATTATGTTCTTTTCTTGTTAAAAAAGAGTTTGGTCACCATTTGTTTCTTATTTGTTTTCGTAGAAGAAATTTGTGAATTTGAATATCGAATATTTGAGCACTCTTTAAGAATTCAGGAATTCTAAAGAAGGATTAGTTATGAGAAAGTTTTCTAACTCAAAGTAAGTCAAGTGACTGATAAGGTTTCGTAATCTGAATCTTTTGAGGAGGCACTAAAATAAACCGGTCTTCAATAAAATGTCAACAGCTGCAATAAATAGTTTTGAGAATTATTGCTAGACTTATGAGTCACATTGCAACAAAAATTCTACGACCTCGTGGGCAAACAACACTTGGGTTCAATGGACTATGCTCGGCTCGAGTGTAGCCTTGATCCACAAGAAACATTTGATCCGTGTGGTATGGGTGGATCGCATGACCAGCACTTCGTCAAGAGTCTATAAATATGAACTTATTTCTGAAATCTTTTTGTCTCATTTTTTCCTCGCTTCCTTCTTTCTGGCTTCTCGTGCAAAATCCCAGGTAAATCATAGAGTCAGGTAAGAAGAGTTCAAATCCAGAAAATTATGCTCTGACATACTCAAACACATTGTTTAATAAGAGAACTTACTGCAGCAATTGTTTTCATCTCATGTACTCCTTGTAGCAGGCACCTGTTAGTATTGTTTGTTTTCTACTATGCAAGGCTGTTTATTTATCAGCGCAATATTTGGTTTTAAGTGATAAGAAAGCTGCGATACTGCTTCCCGCATTCTTCGGTAATGCTAAGCTCAGTCTCTATCGCTCATTCACTCAAAGTGGCCAATGACATAGCAGTGAGGCGTGCGGTTGCGTGCTATTTAACTATTGAAGCTTTGGCTCTGTTGTACCAGATATTAGATCAACACGTTTACTGTGATATATCTAAGATTTCTATTGTTGTGTTCCTCTGTAACTTGAAGTAAAAGTTCGATATCCATTAGCGCACGCGACGGGACGCGACGCGTTTAGTTTCTCCTATTTTATAAATATGCCATCAATTAGCTTCTAATAAGGCTGAGACCACAAGGAAAGTTAGGGATTACATGGGCCGCACGGCTTATTTTCGAAGGCATGTTATTGAAGAGGCACCTATTCATTTCCAATGCTATGTTTTCCTTTGTAACTTTAGGTAAAAGTGTCACTATTAGCGCACGCGACGCGTTCAGTTTCTCCTATTTTATGAATATGCCATCAATTAGCTCCTAATAAGGCTGGGACTACAAGAAACTTAGGGCTTACATATTCTGTACGGCTTAATTTTTTCGAAGGCATTTTATTGAAGAAATGTGAATTTCAATTAG